TTCTGTTCTCAAGGGCAAGCTTTATAAGAAGAAAAATGCAACCACACAGAATGAAATATGACTTCCATCTTCCATTCCATTTGGTTACTGCTCAAACATTCTGCATTCATTTAGACTTGAAACTTTCCTCTCCAGTGAGGCTTCTTTGGTGTTGCCAGGAAAAGTACTGCAAGGTCACATGCTGTCCAGCATAACCACAAGACACAGCTATGGGAAACCCTTTAAGGACAATTACCTAGTACCAATATGATATGAAGGGACACACTATTTCATTTAGCTCTTTAAAAAGTAACCGCCACCCTGGGAAAGCCTTCAAATAGAGGTTTAAATACTACCACAAATAACACCGTGCATGTATATATAAAACCACTAAGGTTTTCTGGGGATCACTAAGTGACTTACCATTAATCAGGCCTCCTTAGCATCATACCTATTTTACAAACCACAGATTTTACCTATTCTGTTTGATGTACATAAAAGAATATTTGGATTTAAATTTGACATTTCTCTTCCTTCCTGATTCTAAAGAAAGAGTTCATTTTTAAAGTATACGCCATCTCATACAGTACCCAAAGTACTTTTTAGCATCTCCTATTCAGGATCCCATGGCAAGTCCCATAATACTTGACACTGTATTGGAAATCCCAGCTCCTGGAGTGCTGTGATTACAAGAGAATCACAGGTTTCACTTAAAAAAGAAAAACAAGCAGATGTTACTAGCCTTCATGGTTGCAAAGAAAATCCTGAAAATTTGAAATCTAGGGGTTCAAAAGGTAGAAACAGGATCAAAATAATCTTTTTTTTTTTTTTTTTTAAGCTTCTGATTTGGAGGTCAGACTTATGGTTTTGGAAAGGTAGAAGAGTAAGCAATACCAGTATCCAAGAACTGAACCATTTCCAATACAGAGAACTAATTAGATTATATATCACTTAGGCTCCAATCGTGTTGAACCCAAATGAGACTGAGGGACATGCACAGATCAGACTGTAGTATCAAAGCTTTACTCTGCAACCCAAATCAAGAATTTTTAGTGCAGTGTCAGAGACGATTGAAAAGTACACTCCTCCTTCACTTTTCATTACTTTGTATTTCTTTAATTGCAATATTCTATTACCACAGTATTCTATTTCTGTAATTTTGCCTTTTCCATTCTGTACATCTCCTGATATGAAAATGCTGTAGAAGGTCATGCTAATCTGGTCTCAGTGTTCTACTAAAATGAGAACCAGTCTTTGGGTAGAATTACAATCAGAACTAAATTGATCTGGCTCACTTTATACATGTGTCTGAACAATTATAAATAAAGAATTATTTTTGCAGGAAACAATCTCCATTGTGCTGTTTAATCCACTGTCCACAACCCTCCTCCTCTCTTACTCTTCAGATTTTTTTTTATACTTCATGTTCAGCAAGCAATGAAAGTTTAATTGTTATATTCAGATAATATTGACAGCTGGGACCAAACCATCCAAATTCCTTTGTAAAGCTAAAAGAAAAGCAGCAAATGAGAACCCTGTGGTACTGATGATAAATCATGTTCCACCCATTATCTACTCAACACAACAGAGTGGATGAAAGCCAGATTGTCCCCTAGCACTCACCTAGGTCTTGCTTATGAGTGAACAGCTCAATGGAAAGTTTGGCCCTGCCATAGCTTGGTGGTTTCTTACAGAGACTTAAATCGAAATGCAGCCTTCTACACAGACATCTCCAAGAAAACCATCCCATCTACCAGAATAAATATCAGTCTTGAAAAATAACTTACACAGGTGTCTGTATAAATGACCAACCATGTCTGCTGTGAAACAAAGCACAGTTTGAAGGCTAACTGCAACCCACAGATTTCTGAAATGCAGCACATGGTCATCCTCTCCCTGTAATTGCTGAGCAACAGAATAGTTGCTCCAAATTGCCAGGGAACTGATGCAAGAAGCATCTGTTATTCTATAAAGGAGAACTCAAAGCCATAGACATCAGAGGCATCACTGGCAAGTAGTAAAGCTACCTACACAAAAGGTACTTTTCTCATGAATATATGAAACTAGCTGGTGGGTTCTCATTCCAGCTGGTGGGTAATCTCCAAAGTCAACCTCAGGAAAGAAAAGGCACAGGGAATGAACCAATTCTAAAGGTCTCTGTATATAAGCACTAATGAGCACCAACTGGGTTGTTCTGAAGGAAGTTAGACCTGCTGCTGCTCATTTTGAAACTCCTAGTCAAGAAACAGTACACTTCAGAGTCCAGGGCTAATGCATTTTGGCAATGTATGGCCCAGAAATATAAGCATTTTTTGCATTTAAAATAGTCCTTTCTTATGTTACCATTGCCACTCACTTGCATAACTTCTCAATCCTGAACACGTCTCTTGTGCCAGCTACTGTCAGAAGTATTGTCTCCCACAAAACACCAGATTAACTTTAGCTAAGTCTCCAACTTTAGCTGCAAGTAACTTTCTCTCTAGAGAACACAAAACAGGGAAGGTTTATTTATACTCGTACTTATAAACATTAACAAAGGAGCAACATGGTTATAAAAAATGCTATACCTTCTAAACAATATTTGTGAAAATTAGTACCATCTAAACTCAAAAAAGGCCCTCTCTCCAGCACATACTGAGACTATTTAAAACAACCTGGACACTGAGGAATTTCAAACACATGACCCCAAACAAGGCAGTCTTCATCATGCTTTCACCCTACCAAGGAGTTAGAAGACATATGATGATCTCAAAGTCCTTTTATTGAAAGTTCATACCCAAAGAGAAGTCAAAACCTCAACTTCCCTAAATCAAATCCCCTTCCAGCAGGCTTTCCCGATCTTTGCTCAACTTTCTATCCTGAAGCTCGTTCCCCCAAAAACTGTACATGGAAAAGTTACCATGAAGTTTTCTGATGTTATCACCTGTATTAAGTAATACAAAAGCATTTTGTTTTGGACATAAAAATGTGCAAATACAGAAGCTCTTGGGTTTGCCAAGAAAGACTTCAGTGGAGCAAGACTCAATCACCTCTGTTTTACAGCAAGCAAGAGCATTATTATACAAGCAAACTGAAGTGCCTTTCAGGAAGTGGAAGTTATTTTTCCCCCCAGCCAATGTGAATTGATTTAAAACATGCAGCAGAAATAAGTCAGATTCACCTTCACCCATCTTCTTACACAAAAAGGTAGTAAAATGAAGTGTCACTGAAATATATACAGTGCTTCCAAATCTATAGCTTGACATGGGTCTCAGTAGGAAAGGAATTGTGCATCTGAATTTCTAACAAGTGTACATTTGAGCTCCTCATCAGGACAACCAACCTGTAGCCTTTTAAATTAAGGAAATTCCAAGAAAATCTGATTAAATTTGAGAGATCTGATTAAAAATATAGAGCTGTGAAATATACAAAGAAGGAACCCACTGCCCCTTTCAGCAACAAAGATTTTTATATATATATATATATATATATATATATGCTTTAAAAATTAGCAAACCTACCTCCCCAGCTACTAACTCTGAACCTACCCTGGAGGGACGGATACGGTCTACATGCAACTTGTGTATTAGCATAACTATATTAGCTAAGGTGCGATTTTTTGACACCAGTACAAGTCTTATGCCAAGTCTACTTTGTAGAGCTCTCCTGACCTAGCTAACCTGTTGAAGCATGTGAACCTTCAGCAATGTGACTTTGTCATCAGCAGCTCCTACTGTCCACAGGCATACAGGCAAAATTGCACTCTCTCTAAAATAGACTGTACCAGTAAAATAAAACCATCAACCACAGGTACAAACTAAAGCACAGCTTTGCCAATAGAGCCCCATCCACATGAGGAGCATTTTACAGGTCAAGTATTACTGGCATAATGTACTGCATTTATACTTATACAGGTAAAGTGTATGATTTGCTCAACTGAACAGCAAGATGCTGGTCCAAATCTTTCCCCTATTTACTTACATTGTAACAAACTCCCATTATCTGCAGGTCAGTTACTTGCCTAAACCACTTCAGCCCCTAGGAACTCTTCAGCCCCAGTGTCTACGCTGTAACCCAGCCATTCTCCCTGTACCTGAGTCAGGGGGAAATGACTTCAAGGTTTCTAAAGCAGCCCAGACTGACGGAGCCCCATTGATGTCAAGGTTGCAATTAGAAGAGTAAGGGGCTCTCAGAAGCAAGGTAAGCCTTAACAAGGTGTGAAAAGCTTGGGGAGGTTGTTCGTCTCATTGACCAGCAAAAGCATAGCCCCTTTTTTTGGTCCAGTCCCCACTATACTTATTCTGGTACCAGTAAAAGCATCCCCAATGTGGGCCCACTCCTGGCTGCTGTTACATGGATCCACTCTGCTTTCTACATTGCTTTGCGCACATCTTTCAGCACCACAGGAAAAGAACACAGGCTCTCAAACGCTCGTGCTATCCATCTCCCGTTCAGTTAGTCTAGAAGGTGCACATCCACCTGCCCCCTGCGGTTACACAGGTCTTTTCCCAACCCACCACGAGGGAACTAGCACTCCTGACTCCAAGGAGGCTGGATTTACACTGGAGCTTCATCCGGCAACAGGCATGTCTATGTGTGTGTGTGTCTGTCTGTCTGTCTCGCGTGCCTGTGCTGCTGCCATGTCCACATCCGTGCCTGCATCTGTGTGTTTGTCTGAATCTCTGCATCCGTGTCTACGCCTCTGCATTTGTCTATGCCTGTGTGTCCGCCTGTCTCTGCATGTCTACACCTGTGTCTGTCCCTCCGTCTCTGCATCCATATCTATGCCTGTATGTCTGCCTGTGCCTGCATGTCCGTCTGCGTCTCCGCATCCGTGTCTACGCCTCTGTGTCCACGTGTCTCTGCATCCATGTCTATGCCTGTGTGTCCACCCCTCATGTGTCTACCCATTTGTCTCCACATCGTGCCTACACCTGTGTCCGTCCGTGCCACTGTCCCGGCTCCGGGAGGGGCTCGTGTCGCTCGTGCCCCCGCCCCCGCCCGGGTCCCGCACCCCCGCAGGGGCAGGGACGGGCCCTCACCGCCGATGATGGTCCGGATGAGGGAGGCGTGGCCCGGGCAGTCCACCAGCGTGAACTGCAGATGGCCGGGGCCGAGGCGCGGGGGCAGCGCGGTGCAGAGGCACGAGAAGCCCAGGTCCAGGGTGATGCCGCGGGCGCGGCTCTGCGGCGCGCGGTCGAAGGCGGCGGTGGAGCTGGCGGTGCTGAGCGCTCGGGCCAGCGCCGTCTTGCCGCTGTCGATGTGGCCCAGGACGCCCACATTCACGTTCAGCCGCCCCAGCCCCGGCTCCTCAGCCACCGCCATCGGCGCCCCGCCCCCGGTCCGCCGGTCCGTG